TATTTCTGCTAACATGTTATTTCTATTTTTTGCAGCACGCGAGAGTCATAACTTTTGATCTCTTTTATTTCAGCAGTGCGTTGATTCTGTTTCCTTTCTCCTTACTATTTTTTCCATCACTTTCATTTTCATTAATCAAAAACACCAAAAACATTTTACATTTTACATGCTTTATTTTATTTCTTAAATCAAAACGACTAAAAATGTTTTCTTAAACTAATTCATTTAACAAAAATAAAGCAAGTCCATTTCAATTCTTGTACATTATTTCAATATGGTTGTAATAGATAACTAGGACTTTAATTTCTTACAATCCCCATTTATAAATTTGTACACCCCATCCCCCTAATGATTTTAATAGCGTAGAATCTTTACTTTCCACACTTTTATTGCTTTCATATATTACTAGTAATTAGGTGCGTATGACAAGACATAAAATCAACAAATAGATAACCCTAATCAAGATTAAATGCATGTAAATAAAACACACTTGCACACTAGAACCCTTAGGGTAATCCCATTTTGTTTCCTATCGGAAAATAGTCATGTCCCTCGAACATGGGCGTTCTAGCAAAGACCCTCGATAAAAGATCGTAGTCCCTCGATGACCCTCGATGTTGCCTTCGATAAACCATCTAGTCCCTAAAATGATATTGCTAAAACGTCCCATAGGTTGCCTTCTATGAATGTACGATGACCCTTGCCCGTCCCTTTTACATCCAAAGATAGGGTTTCTTACCAAATGAATGGTAAGATAACAATATCAAAAGAAAGAGGAAATAAACATGAAAGACTTTTGAGTAGGTAGAATGTTCCTAGTTGCTTGCTCATTTTCAAATCAAAACATCCTTGCTATTTTCAAAACAAACACCAACACTTTCAAAAAACATCTTTCAAACTTGAAGACATTTTTCAAAAGATAAACACTTTGTACGCGTTCTTATAGAAACGAGAGCCATTACAAAGACACCTTTTCATAATCACTTTCCACAAACACATCTTTGAACTATTTTTCAAAACAATACTTTGTACGCATTCTTATAGAAACGAGAACCATTACAAAGTCACATTTTCAAAATACTTTCAAAACCACACAAAGCACATTTTTTCAAACAAAGTAAGTGATATAGCAAGCAACTAAGAGCCCGTAGATAACTACGGATAAAAAGGGTGCTAATACATTCCCTTTTTATAATCTACCCCCCGAACTCAGAAAACATTTCAAAGGTCTTTCCTGTTCTTTTCAACTTTTCCTTTTGAATAAAAGAAAAGTCGGTGGCGACTCTTGCTAACCGCAACATTTGCAATCAAACGCAAAACAACCAAGTCAGTTCTCCCACCGTGTTACACTATCTTACCATTGATTTGGTAAGAAGCCCCATCGTTGGATGTGAAAGGACGGGCATGAGACGTTTGTATAGTCATATAAGGACTTTTTAGCAATTTCGTTTAAGGACTAGATCATTTACTAAAGGCAACATTAAGGGTCATCGAGGGATTACAATCTTTTATCGAAGGGTCTTTGCTAAAATGCCCATATTCGAGGGACGTGACTATTTTTCCAAGGCAACAAGTGAGATTACCCTAAGGGTGCATGTGTGAATGGTGCATTTGATTTACATGCATTTTTGTCTTTGATTATGGTTGTCTAGCGGTTGATTTTAAATCTTGCCATACACGCCTAATTACTATACAGTATATGGAAAGCGGTAAATTTGCGGGAAATTAAATCCTACGTTATTACAATATTTTAGGGATGGGGGGGGGGGGGGGTACGATGCACAAATGGGGATTTGCAAGTAATTTAAATCCTAGTTATCTATTACAACCATATTGAATTTGAATAAATGTACAAGAAAAAATGGAGAGAAAAAAAAGGAAAGGACTTGTTTTGTTTTGTTTTGAAAAGGGTTTTTTATCCTAATAAACTAAAAGGAAAAAATTAGTTAATAAAAGAAGTTTAAACTAATTTAATTTAAAAAGTAAAACATTCTTTTTGTATCTTTTTTTTATAAAAATAATACTAATGATAATAATATAGAAAATAAGAAAGAAAAAAAACAAAATAAAGGAAATAAGTCAGCAAGGGGGTAAAAAATTGAATTTAAGGTGTTTTTTATGTAGAAAAACAGTTTTTGTGTAAAGAGTAATTTTTGTGTTAAAAAACAGTTTTTCTGTATTTTTAGATCCAGGACCTGTTGTGTTAGTTAGTAAAATAGAGGGTTAGAAGATGAAATCGAAGCCCAACCAAATGAGGCCCAGGCGTGTTCCTGCAAACAAACAGATAGGAGAAAATATGAAAAAAAATGGCCAAAGGGTCTGGCTGGGGGTCGATCCTAGGACCTTCGATCCGACAAGACTTAAGCGTGCGCTGTTTGTACCACTGGGGTGGTCTGTTTCATCCGTTCATGAGATAACTTCAATCGAATATATACTGAATTCGCTTCTGGACGTCAAAATGGCCATCTTTTGCAAACCATGATGATTCGAATGGCAATCCCCTAACAACTCTATTTTCTCAATCGAAACACACCAGGAAAACATCAAATCAAACTAAACATTGAGTAAGAGTCGAAACATAGTATTTTCGACAACTACATATATAAGGCTAGCATGGATTTTGTTTAATATTAAAACTAAAGCCTAGCTGATTGAATATGAAAACATCTATGTATAAACAATAATAATCGAAGTATCTACATTTTCCCTCACAAAGTATATACAAATAATGTTTGAATGAAGAGTTCCAAGTCTAAGGAAACTTACCTCTTGGAGAAAAATTTGAAGGACTTCGATGCAATCACCAGAAATGGTTTGATGGGGATGGCTTCGACCTCCCTGATGCTTATTCGAAGTGCTACTTTACTTTGGAGGATGGTGTAAGAAAATAAAGTAGGAGATTATATGTAGATGGTATTTAGGAATTTTTGTAAGCAAAGGGCCAAGGGACACAACAAGTGAGGTTGACTTAAAACTCAGGTGTAGCAAGTTTTGAAGTGTTTGATGATTCTGTGTTGGAGAGTGAAACTTGTTTTGGATGAACAAAGAAAAAGTTCTTGTTATATTTTTCAAAGACTCCCTCCTCTCTCTCTCTCTCTCTCTCTCTCTCTCTCTCTCTCTCTCTCTCTCTCTCTCTCTCTCTCTCTCTCTCTCTCTCTCTCTCTCTCTCTCTCTCTCTCTCTCTCTCTCTCTCTCTCTCTCTCTCTCTCTCTCTCTCTATTCGTCTGTCCCCCCCTTTTGTGTGTTGTGAAGAATAGTTTATTTATAGAGGAGCTTTGACGTGGTTTTAGGAGGAAAACAAATAACATTTGAACTGTTTGGGTATACTGTCCCCTTGTTTTCTTTGATGCAGCTCTTATGTACCCTTTTTTGTGTAAGTATGGGACTGAGACAATGTAGGATCATCAGTATTTTAGAGTGTTGTGGCAGCTTGGTGCAGGATGGTTGCATAGCTGTACAACAGACTGTTTGAAACATGTTTTTGGGGCTTGTGAACTTGCTTTGATCGAAGAGTGGAAAAACAAGTCTCAATAAGCATGGCCTGAAGAGTGAGATTCGAAGGATTGGAGCAAGTGTTTTGTATGGGGTTGAAAAATTTTGAACTTCTGTCGAAGGTTTTAGCTTATGGATCGAAGGAAGCATATTTCCCCAGTCGAATCTTGGATCGAAGAAAGGCTACTGCCCAATCAAAGCTTGTGCTCGAAGGAAGCACATCCCCTTAGTCGAAGCTTGGATCGAAGGAAGGCTACTGCCCAATCGAAGCTTGTGCTCGAAGGAAGCATATTCCCTTAATTGAAGCTTGGATCGAAGTAAGCTTGCTCGAAGGGAGTTATTGCCCAGTCGAAGCTTGCTAGATCGAAGCCAACTTGCTCAAAGTTGCCAATGCTAAGCTTGTTAGATCGAAGCAAGCTTTCTCTTCTTCGATTTGTCGAAAGGCACATTAACATCTTCCATTTGTTTCCATTTTTCTTTTCCTTCGACCAGTCGAAGTAACACCTTGTCATATTCAAAAAAATTCATTTCCTTTATTTCTTTAAACATGCGTTTGTAATCACACATGTGAGAGAAATCTTGAGAAAACGAGAGGGCAAATTTTGGAGTACAACAATGGTGTTTCTTCCTTGATTCTATTTGTCTCACGAATGTCCTGTCAGGGAGGCTCGCTCCTCCTTGTGTACTGCCTCAAACATCCTTCCTTGATAAGGGTTTCAATTGCATCCTTGAGGTGGATGTAATCTTCAATGACGTGGATGTGACTCTTGTTAAAACGGAAGTACTTGGTCTTGTCAACCCCAAGTTTGGGAGGTGTAGGCTCGGGAAACCAAACACCATCTTGTCTGAATTCAGAATTGATACACTCGGCGAGGATGCACTCGCGAGCGGTCAGCAGAGTGTAGTCAGTAAAGCAGCCCGTCGGACCTTTGTGTTCACGGGAATCATGAGGCTTATCGTCTCTTCTTTTACCCCCACGTCGATAGGAAGCCGCAATGTCGTCGTGCTTCGGGATTATGGCCGCCTCTTTCTCCTTGTATGTGATGTAGGATTGGGCCTTGTAGAGGAGATCCACCCAGGAATTGGAAGTCTCAATGCCGACTGCTTTTCTGAAATCGCTGTCGGGGTGCAGTCCTTTCTCGAGCAGGTACCTCTTTATACAATCAGTCGTGGGGATCTTGATGGCCTCACAATTGAACCGCTCAATATATACTCGTAGAGGATCGTCATTCCCCTGAATGATGGCCTCGAGGGATGCCTCAGTTTTGGGGTGTCATCGAGAGACCGTGAAGTTCCTGCTAAATAGAGTCTTCAGAACCTTCCATGAAGGTATTGACTTTGGGGCGAGACTTTTATACCATGCCATGACACTTTTCCTCAGTGTCGTGGGAAATAGACTGCACCTGATGGCTCCCCCGATATTGTGGTAGTTAAGCATTGCTTCGAAGCCTTCGATGTGATCGTCGGGGTCCGTAGTGCCATCGTAAGTGGCCAAGGGCGGTGGTTTTTCATCCCGGTGGGAATTGGGATCTCCATGATCGCTTGGGATAACAGACCACGGGGGTCGTCTTTGTCGTTTCGGTTAAGGAAGCGCAACGGGGAGGAGTCGGATTGAGGGCCCTTACGGCGTGGTGAATTTCTTGGCCGACTCCTGTGTTTATCTGGATGTCTGCCGACCTTGTTCTTCTTGGGAGCTGAGGATCTTCGTTCTTTGCATAGTGGAGTGCAATCGCGGTTCTTGACGACTTTAGATTGGGGTCTCTATAGTCGAGGGCCTCGCTCGGTTCGTCGAGGAGAGAGGCTTTGGGATTCGTCCCATTGATTTCTTCATTGGGGAGAACGAGAACATGCATCCCGTCAGTGCCTTATGGGGGAGCGTGACCGGCGGGTCCTCTTCAGCATTTCGATCCGTTCGCGCTGCTGGAAGATCAAGTAGTTGGTCTGGTTGATCGCCACGAACAAGGCCACCATGGTGGGATCAACATTGACAGGTACATGGATTTTCTGGTACACTACAGGATTCTTGACTTATCGACGAGGGTTGTCGAGAGGATGTGAACGGGTGGAAGAGGAGGTCGTCATTTCGTCCCTGAGGTCATGTTGTTCGTGAGCGGCGACCTCATTATTGTTGAGGTTGCCAACATCGACGAAATGGACAATCTCGCCGCCATTTTTGTTGTTGTGATGGCTGACCATAATTATTGATATGTATTGATGAGTTTGCTTTAGTCTTTAGTTCTGGAAAAAGACGGAGAAGCAAAGAATTCCCACAGACGGTGCCGCTGATCTTACCGGGATTAGAAAGATCTCCATGATCTGCAAGACTCACACTTCTGTTGTAATGAAGGAAGCAGGGGGATACCTACAAGACACTCTGATGCCAAAGTAAGGTTCAGAGCAAAAGTGCAAGTAAGAAAGAGTGAATATAATAGTGTATCTGACCCTCTAGTGAAAGAGAGTATTTATAGCTCTCAATGCTGGGCCAATAACTCCATTTTGAGTCGGATGCCCATACCCAAAATGGAGACTGTCAGGATCCTACGTGGGTAGAGGAGATCAGTTCATGGTCTCTATCCTGGTACAACTGCTGCGTGATTCTCGTAGGGTGAATACTCATTCTTTTTGGGAGCAAGATGGCTCTGTGATATTCAGAGGAACGTTGGCCACATATTCTTGCCGAGCACGTGAATATCACGTCCTTGTTAGACACGTGGATGAGATGTCCTCGATGGGCATGTGAGGAGTAGATCCTCGACGAACACGCGTAAGAGACGTTCACGACGTGTACATGTTAAAGAGGAGGTCCTCGACGGGCATGTAAGGAGGAGATCCTCGACGGACACGCGTAAGATACATTCACGACATATACGTGTTAAAGAGGAGGTCCTCGACGGACACGTGTGAGAGACATTCCCCAACGGTCAGTCATAGTAATATAGTCGGAGTGGGCCTTACCCGAAGTTGAACGTCCAAAAACAAGAATAATTTTGAATTTCCACCGGGAGTTTATTGAAAAAGAAATTCTCACGAATGAAATTCTCCAAATTTACGAACCCATTCGGCCCGTTCTCTCTCCAGCGAGTTCGCTCTTTCATTCGAACCAGAACCGCTCTTACCGGAACTCGGGCACAGTCACGGAGTACACCACCGCACACGCAGCCCCAAAACAGGTTCATTCTAATCTCCTTTACTCTATAATTTTCGCCACACAAAAACAACATTTCTTATTCCACTATCTTCCAATTTCACCACTTAATTACCTATAATTTCATGCACTAATTCCATAAACAACGATAACTGAACAATTCATATAAATGTAACCCTAACCCTAATTTCACTTCAATTCAACAATCACGTAATTTTACCCTAATTTTGTGTGTGATTGATCAAGGAACTGAGATGCTAGGAAGAGTAAGGAAGGTTTCTGGCCGTGGAGAACCAGTTGCAGCAAACTACGCATTTGGTCCTTCAGAAGATGATGTAATCATCAAACACAGGCTTCTCACCCGTACAACAACTACTCGAGGTGAACCTCCGTTGAAGAAGCTTCAAAAGAAGTTCACCTCGTTCGTCTCCGAGGTAGATAAGGATGAAGATAACTATAATGATTGCGAAAAGCTTGCTAGAGCTTTTTTGCAGGAGCTTACTACATTTGAGATTCCTCTTTTGAAGAGTAAAGCAATTGTTGAGGCTAATGTTAGGGAAAAGGATAATTTCAATGAGTTGAAAGATGAAATGAATCGCCAGATCTTGCAGGCGCAGGTTGATATTGAGGATCATAAGAAGCAATTGGAGGAGAGTAAGGTTGAGAGACGACATAAGGAGGAGTGTGAGGCTATTAGGAAGTTGATTGCTTTGCAGCCGCCGAGATGTGAGACGCAGAAGGTTATAACTGAGTTGGAGAAAGAAATAGCGGCGTTGGATGCCGAGAATACTGCTGGTTCGAGATTGTTGGAGCTTAGGAAGAAGCAGTTTTCCCTTTTGTTGCATGTGGTATGTGGTAGACGTTTAGTTTGCTTAATTGATTATGCTATTGCTTGTGTGATTGTTGTTATTTGCTTATTTGGAATTTGCAAAGCAGGAATTTAATCAGCTGTTTATCACTGCTTTATTGTCAGCTCTGTGCCTATCTGTTATGCTTAACTGTTTAGCTACTTCTCTTTCAAAATCATGTGCTAATGTTGATATCAGTATTGTCAATGGCGGATGGCAGTCCATGGTGGAGAGCCAAAATCCCGCCATACCGGCCGCTTTGCAGCGCCGTTATAGCGGATTATGGAGGAAAAACCCAAAATATCAGCTGATATTTACCATTGCGGTGAGCCCAAAAATCGCTATGTATATCTGCCATAGCGCTTCTATTTGATAACACTGGTAGATACTTAACCATGTTGAATTCATTATAGAGAATGGCAAAGTGCATCTTTAGTTAGGAATACCACTTGAGAATGGAGAGCATTATAGCAAAATCGCACACTATTTTGAAGTAGAGAACATTACATTAGATATATCTTATTTTGATTATGATTGAAATTTGAACTCTATGCAGATGAAACTTCTAATGTAAATGAAAAACTAAAAGCCTGTGTGGTTCTGGAAAATGTTTTCTTATTTTTTTATTTATTTTCACCTAAAACATAACTCGGTCTAATGGAGCTCAATAGCCATCTAAGTTCAACTGAAATCAACCATAAAAGAAAACATCAAATACTTACAAACTCATAGTTAGAAATTGCGCGCGTCTGCGTTTTTTTATTTGACCCAATTTGCATATGAATTGTCCGAGTCAAACAATCAAGGATGAAGTAACAAAGAATGTAAAAACACTATATAGCATAATGCAGCCTTGACTATGAATGCCCTGTTAAATTAAGTTGAGAATGTCTGAATGCAGCCTTAGTATGAATACTAGTTGAGAAGGGGTTTTGACACAGTTGTTAGTTGTTTGTAGACTGAGATTTGAAATGCAATTTGGAAGAGGCTAATTTTAACTTACAAAACAGTATTTTGGTTTCAGTTATTTGATTGTGATCCACATTCTCACCTTGTTGAATCATCTTAAATGTTTTTATAAAAACTGGTGATTGGGCTGAAATTTGTCAAACCAAGTAATCATATGAAATACATTCATAGGCCTGGAATACCGGAATAGAGAACTTATGACTTGGGAGCTTTTAGTTTATTGCTTGAAATGATTAAGCAACTTACAAAGTTCTTGTCAAATTCTATAATACCAACTGTAAAATGCATCCTTCTTTAGTTATTTCTCTTTAAAGTTATATATTTTCTATGTATGTTTTACTTGTCATGTCACATAAATTTGGTCTTCGAGTATTTTCTGTTTTTCATTGGCTATGTTATGAACTGAAATACCGTGATGCAAAATTCTCAACAGGTGGTGTTCCTTATTTAGTAATTCTAATATTTCTGTAGATGTAAACATTGATGTCAATATTTAATCTCCTTAATTTTCTTGCAGGTGGATGAGTTGCAGAATACAATAGAGGAAGACCAAAAGAGTCTAATGGAGGAGATGAGACTAGCAACCGAGGAGCTTAAGAATGGGATAGAGGACACAAGTGGGGGGTCGGAAGCAATGGAGTTGATCAGTAACTAAATTGAAAGTCTCACTGTTGTAGCATTTCTTACTTACACTTCATTATTGGTGTTTTTCTACCGTGGTTAGGAACCATATGTAAATGAAAAGTCAATGTTATTGTGATAGCCCTTAGAACTTTGTAACATTTGCATTTTGATTGGAGTTTTCTATGAAATTTTGTGGTACAATATATTCAACATTGTAGTGTCTTTTTCACTTTTTTCTCTCTTTTGATCAATCTTTCGTCCCAAAGAATCTAGAATTTGATTGCAATGTATATCACAAACAAAACAATTCAGAGTAGGATATGAGAATTTTAAAAGCAAAATAATTTGACGTTTTCAGTTTCTGGCTGGTGTGGGAAATATTAGTATTTATTGGGGATGACCCAAAATCAATTATCAATTGTGGTTGTCCATCTATCAATTAAAAATACTCTTTATTATTTATCTTAAACAAATTTTATTTTATTTTTAAATTCATTGAATAATTAATATATCTGATCTATTTATGAAATAAATATTGATCGTATTTAATAGAAGAGATCGTCAATGTCCACGAGTTTCAAATTGAGCACCGGTTAAATGTGAAATTGGAGTATCAGCAAGATATTCCGATAAAAAATACTCTCCTTGTTTTAAATAAGTGTCATAATTGATATTTTTAAACTAAAAATAAAAAGGAGAATAACAAATAGTGTAAAATAATTGTACAGTACACTACACACCTTGAGTGGATGATTTATCAAAATATTTATTTTTACTATTGATATATTTTAATTATTATTAATATAATATTATTTAAAAAGTGAGATTTATTTTAATTTTGGGAATTAAGAGAAAAATTGACTGAAGTTATTTACATTTACAAAGTTACAAGGCACAAGTCTACAAATAAACGGCAGTGAACCAAACAAGTTAGACAAGACCGCGTATCCTCGTACAATTTATTTCCGAACAACCTATCAATGTCCCTTTTTGCTCGGTGGCAATGTCATTGAGAAAAGATGAACATTGTCATATACAAACTTTTCCAATCATGTCGTAGATTCCATACTTCCCTAATATCAACCCATCAACCATTTTTTCAAAACCATGATTTCATTCCTCCCTCCACATTTTTATCCAACACTCTCCAGCATTACATCAATTCCCAAACCCCTTCCCACGGCCAAAAAATCCATTCCCACATTCTCAAAACTGGGTTTGTTCCAAACACAAACATTTCCATCAAACTACTTATTCTATACCTTAAATCAAATTCTTTAAGATACGCACGCCAGGTGTTTGATGATCTGCATGACAGAACTTTATCTGCTTATAATTACATGATTGGTGGCTATCTCAAAAAAGGACAAGTTCATGACTCACTTGAGTTGTTTCATAGGCTTTTATTGTCTGGTGATAAGCCTGATGGGTTTACGCTTTCAATGATTCTAAAAGCGTCAACCTCGGGTGTTAATGTTGTGATGGTTGGTGATCTTGGAAGAATGGTGCATATGCAGATTCTTAAATTTAATGTTGAGAACGATGATATTCTTTGTACAGCGTTGATTGATTCTTATGTTAAGAATGGGAGGGTTGGTTATGGGAGGACTGTGTTTGATGTGATGTCGGAGAAGAATGTGATATCGTCAACGTCGCTGATCTCTGGTTACATGAATAAAGGTTGTTTTAATGATGCTGAATGTATATTTCAGAAAACATTGGATAAGGATGTTGTGGTGTTTAATGCTATGATTGAAGGTTACAGTAAAACATCTGAATGTGCCATGAGATCTCTTGAAGTTTACATTGACATGCAGAGGTTTAACTTTAGGCCGAATCTTTCTACGTTTGCTAGCATAATTGGTGCTTGTTCTGTGCTTGCAGCATTTGAAATTGGGCAACAAGTTCAAACTCAGCTTATGAAAACACCTTTTTTTGCAGACGTAAAATTAGGAAGTGCTCTTATAGATATGTATTCCAAGTGTGGTAGAGTTGTAGACGCTCGAAGAGTTTTTGACCATATGCTTGAGAAGAATGTTTTTTCATGGACATCTATGATTGATGGATATGGGAAGAATGGGTTTCCTGATGAAGCACTTGATCTATTTAGAAAGATGCAGATAGAATATTGCATTGCGCCTAATTTTGTCACGTTCCTCAGCGCTCTCTCAGCTTGTGCGCATGCTGGACTTGTGGATAAGGGTTGGGAGATCTTTCAGAGTATGGAGAATGAATATAAAGTGAAGCCAGGGATGGAACATTATGCTTGCATGGTTGATCTGTTAGGCCGAGCAGGGAGGCTGAATCAGGCTTGGGAGTTTGTCACGAGGATGCCTGAGAGACCTAATTCAGACGTGTGGGCTGCTTTACTTAGTTCGTGCAGACTCCACGAAAATATAGAGATGGCAAAATTAGCAGCAAATGAGCTTTTCAAGCTGAATGCTAGTGGAAGACCGGGAGCATACGTTGCACTGTCTAATACTTTGGCAGATGCTGGGAAATGGGACAGTGTAAGCGAACTTAGAGAAGTAATGAAGCAGAGAGGAATATCCAAGGACACTGCCTCCAGTTGGGTTGGAGCTAATACTGCTTGTTAGGTTTTATGATGAGTTCAAAGATGCTCCGAATCATTTTTGTTTTGTCAAATTAGACCGTCCCTTTTGAAGTTTTGATTGCTGTTCTTCTGACAATAATTAAACTAAGAAATATGTGAAACAAGGTGTTCAAATGAAGTGGAGAAGCAATTGTGCTTCTAGTTGGTAAGTTGCTGATAGTATTTCAAGGACGTAAATCCTAGATTCCTAATTGCCTGAAAAAAAAAAGAGAAAAAGTTAAGCCGAAAAATAAACAAGTGTCTGTTTTCAAGCTGAATATAGAGTAAATGGACAGACATCAATTCCAATGCTGCAATTTTTTTAATTCTGATAATTTTGTGATAGAGATGGTTTGGGACGCAAGAAATAGAAAGCTCAAAGGCTAAGGTGAGAATGCGCAGAAAGAAGGCTGAAGACGTGCAGCCACAGTGAGTTGACACTCAACCAAACATTCAAAAAGTTGTCCTGCTGTAGGTAGACATTGATTCTCCACCCACAAAATGATTAGAATACGAGGAGACAAAAGGTTTAAACTGGTTCATCATATTACTCTGGCAGACATGCTTTACTTTTTTGGGTTAAACCACCTTTCTTCACACGAGCTAATGGCATAAGAGTCAAGAATGTAATCCACCAACTTAAAAAAAATTAATATCTTATCAATTTCTTCAAGTTCCTGAGTTATGTTTTTTACTTTATGAATAGTATGGTTTTTTCTGTCTATATAGTCTTTAGGGTCTTGTAGAGGATTTGGGTGTTATTAGTCCTACATTCAGTTTGCTTATTGTTTGTTTCTGCCCTCACCCTGACATTTGCTTGATTTCTTCTTCTGTTCATTGCTATTTTCACCGAGTTCTTCTTTTACCCTTCTGCCACATCATCAAATTTGTACGATGAGATGCAAATTTATTATAGTGATGAAAACCAAAACTCCTCCAAATAAAATATCATTAATTCTATACAAAATGATGTACTCGTTGTTTGTGGGGTATTGTTATTGGTAACTGATCGTACCTGACCATAAAGGTTTGTCAAGGTTTTTGAATTTTTTGTCGAGTAATGATTTGATGTGAAGTGGTGGGTGGGAGAGGGTATCTGCAAGACACTCTGATGCTAAAGTAGCAAGTATGAGAGTATGTAAGTTAAAGAATCAATTTCTGACCCTCTTAAGTGACGGGGTATTTATATTCCCCGACGCTGAGCCAAGATCCCCATCGTTGGGCTGGGCAAGAAGGCCTAAAATGAAGATTGTCGGGTCCTATGTGCGTAGTGGGGGCCAACACGTGGTCCCCAACCTTGATGGACACCTATGAACTATCAGGAGGATATGGATGCGGTCTTTTCGGGATTAAGAGGACTCCGTGATATTCGGAGGCGTTGAGAGTTAGCCCTACGAGGAGGATGCTCGTGAGGTACTTCTGTCTGTCGTGGACCCTCCCCGTCAGCTGTGAAGTTGTCCCCGGAGGACTTGTCTTAGTCGACAAGAAGAGTGGGATATGCTCGCGAGGTCCTCCTGATCGTCTTCGGCCCTCCTCGCCATTCTTGGGGTTGTCCCTGTAAGGCAAAGTCATGTCGACCAGAAGAACGAGGTTACTGCCCGAGCTAGTCGAGGGCAGTCGTTGTTAGCAGGCTATTCCACATAGCATAGTCAAATTGGGCTTTGTATGATGTTTGGACCAAGTGCAGGCCCAGTTCAGAACAGGAGCCCCCCAAGTCGTTGCTCCTGGTGAAGGAGTTATGACTTAAATCCAACTTCTTCTTATGGCGAGCATAATTTAACCGGGGATCATTCCTCACGTCGAAGGAGGAAGTCGTCGGTACGTGTGGTCACTCAGACAAGGGTTGGAATTGGCTTCACGGGGAAACAATTCAGTCGTTCCTCGACCCGCGAGGAGGAGAAGGTTCGTAGGAGGTAGCCACGTGGCGTGGTCTTTGGGATAGAAATGATGGCCTAGGGAGTAGGGGCCATTATGACCTGAACGCATAGGCGTCGAGGAGAAGGGCGGTTTGTATGCTATCCGATACGACGCTTCGTATTTCACGTCATCCCTATAAATAGCGCCTCAAGGCTCATTTGTCACATTCCAATTTTCGCTCTCTCCATTCTCTCTGTCGCGTTTGGTTCTACATCGTTTCACTATCTTTCCCAACCGCTAACGCCACCGCAAGATCCACCGTGGACTTCCCACCTACTCCGATCAAGTAAGTGTTTTTAATATTGATTGTTGTTTATGATAGGCTTTTTGATGACTTTTTGATGAATTTCGCTATCGGGGGAATTTTCACTCGGGGTGTTCATACATTTATTCATAGTATTTGCGAGTGGGCCCGCAGAATTCATCTGCTCCCCGCAAAATTCATGAATTTGCCCGAGATACTCATCTGCTCCCCGCAAAAATCGTGAATTTTCCCGGGGTATTCATCTGCTCCACGATGGATTCACGAATTTGTCCAGAAAATTCATATATTCCTCGCGGCATTTATGGATATGTTCGTGAGATTTATCACATGCCCGCGTTACTCAAGAACATTCGTTTTGTTTTTGTCACAAGCGTGCGGTCATGCGAGGCATGTATTAGCTCCCTATATTTCTCGTGAGTCGTGTATGTTTCTCACTGCACGAGTGATCGTCGACTTGGTTTGGGCGCAACTATCCCTTTCACCTGTGTTGCGATGGAAGGGTGGATTTGGTTTAGCTGTCGAATTCACTAGTTTCCTCTGCTTTACAGGTGAAATGGCGGAAACCCCCGAGTCATCTGAGCACGTCGACATCAAAGAGACAAGTGCAACCGATGAAGGTGCCCATTTGGTCGACACAATCGATGACCCATCACTGTTCTGGGTCGGGCAAGAACCTTGAGGGATAACTTCGATCTTCAGTTATACTAGAAGGGAAGCATATACTGTTGTCGAGTATGGAGGCGACCAAGAAGGTTTTTGTCGGAATTTCACGATCCTACAACCGATGCCTACGACCAGGATATGCTCGAAATTCGAGGAGGACCATTTTCCCATGTACGAGGTCGTCTTCAGAGATTTGGGGTTTCGTCTTCCCTTTAGTGATTTTCAGATGGGTGTGTTTAATCACTTGAACTTGGCGCCCTCTCAACTACACCTCAACGCGATCGCCTTCATCCGAGCTTTTGAAATCAACTGCCGATTCTTGAGGATCAGGGCGACCATTCCCTTGTTCTTAAGGGTTTTCCACCTCCAAAGGCAGTCTAGGGGTGGGAAACATAGTTGGGTTTCTTTCAAACAGTCGAAGAGGCTGTTTTGGATGAACATGGATTTTGTACGTGAATTCAAGGATAAATGGTACATCGTGCAACCTTCATCTCGGGATGAAGAAGCCTTCAATGTTCTCAATTGTTTCGTTGATGGGTTCTTTCCCTCGAGGTGGGTCACGAGGGAAGGAAACAACATTCTTGACGAAGACGGCGAACCCACGTTCGAGACGCATCCGATCAATATTAAGGTGGTCGTCAAGTGTCGTAGCTACAAACAAGTAGTGAATCTTCTAGGTTTCCAACCGCGTGATTCTATTGTATTTTTAATCTTGATTTATTTTTGTCATGTCCTTCTAACGAGGCTGACTCGAGGGTGTTGTTTTTGTTTTCGCAGATGATATGGTTGAGCGTCGTGAACGAATTCTAAAGCTGACCTAGGAGAAGAAGAATCACAAGAGGTTGGTGAAGCCGCACCAGCCCTCACGCCTTGGTTTAGTCTCAGAGCCGGCCAGGGATGGGTCGAGCGGGTCGTCAGGTACTTGCGACGTCGCGCAACATGCGGCCATGTTAAGCAAGAAGAGAAGTCGTCCTGAAGGTGGACCTGCAGATGTGACTGAGGAGGGGGTAGTTGCTCGGGTTGCTAGGGACTTCACCCTTCCCCCTTGCTTCATTGAAAAATATTTCTTCGAAGGTTTCCCTTTGACCGTGTCTGATGGCGAAGCTGATGTCATCAGGCGCCTCAACGAGGAGGGCCAGAAGGAGCATCTGGTTACATGCATAGTTGGTCTGATGAAGGTCGCGGAGATGGTCGTCGTCCTTATAGGTGAGGGAGCCGGCTCTTCGGGCCTGGTGAAAGAGCTAGAGACGGAGAAGGTGGCTCTCCAGGCGAAGATGCAGAAGCTAAAGACTGCCCTCGAGCGAAGCGAGGAGATGTTTCGGGGGCAGGCTGACGAGTTGGCCAGAGAGAAGGAAAAAGTAATTAAAGCTTGCGAGGAAAGGGATTCCCTTATTCTCGAGAGGGAACGCATGGAGGGAGATCCTGAGGGAGTCGCTGCTTTGCGAACCCATGCGGAGCTTGTTGCTCAGATTCAGGTCCTCGAGTCAGATTGCGTCGATGCTTTGGCTTAACCGTCGGTATTAAATCTAGGGCTCAACACCTACGGTTCTGGGGTTTTGTCTCAAGTGGTTGATGGCAGGGTGGTTCCTCTTCTTGATTCCCCCGAGGTAGAGATCGAAGTGAGCACTCCGCAGAGTGACTAGTGTTTCTCAGATAATTTGGCTGTTTGTATTTGGGGCCTGCGTGTCCATAATATTTATTATATTCAGAAAACATCGGTGTTGTACCCCTAAATTTTCCCTCCCTTTTCTTCAAAACATGCCTACAAAAGGTCTCAAATACTCAAAGCCACTCAAGAGTTGACTAGTCAAACCTCCTCCTAAGCAAGGGTCTTCAACTAGGGTTTTGTGCTTCTCAAGGAAGATTGCGTTGAAAAGGTCTCAAATGAATTTCATGGTTCATCATAGGTCCTCAATAATGCTTATGTCAAGTTTCAAGTCTTGTATCACATGTTTGCCCAGTCAATGGCTCAAAAGATTGAAAGTCAACTATATTGGGTAAAAAGTTAACTATGATCAACATACAGTCAAACTTCAAGATTTTTTGTCAACATCAACATTTTGAGGTGATATTCATCATTTGATCAAGGGTTGATCATTATTCCTCAAGGAAAGCCATCAAATCATCAAAAGTCAAAAGTTTCCAAATTAGGGTTTTGA